TTATTATAATACAAACATTATACTTATACGGCAATGGGTATTTTATTTTACATATTAATTATAATTTATAGTTATTTTAAGAGTTAATTACAGTTACAGACAACAGTTTAAACAAATGTTTTTAAAAAAAAAAAAAAAAAGGGGTGAGTTTTGTTATTTGCATGTGCTTTCAAAATACTTCTGTGCGCCACTGAATAACTTAATTTCAATGATTTTTAATTTAGATGAAATAATTTGTCGTTTTTAAATTATGTGTTTAATCTATTATAAATTCCTTGTTGTTATGGTTACAATTATATTAAGTGAATATTATGCATTTTATATTTTTGTTTGGGCTTGTATAAAAAGAATGTACTATTTTAAGTTTATTATTATATTAAAATATATTTTATTTATTTTACAAAATATATTTCATATATATACTTATTGTTTATAATAATAACAGTTTTGCTATGGAATGATTTACCTATTATAAAATATTTTTAAATTATAATAATCATAAAAATAATTTCAATATTAATATTACTAAAGAAGCCATAAATTTATTCATGAAAAATAATATATCTAACATATTCCATAGATTCTAAACAATAATAATATAAAATCAATTTTAAAATTAATGATAATCAAACTTATCTATAGGTAATATAATTGAGAACTTCACATAAAATTCCCCTTTTTTAAAAATACTGGTAGATATGTATATACTTAAATGTAATTGTAATACATTTTATGTAGGTAGGTAAGACAAATAAAAATTTTAAAATAATATATAAATACTGCCCCTATTTTAAATTTTGCAAAACATGTTTTAAAAAATAACCATAATACAATATACATTATACTCGTATACATTTTTATATCAATACAGACTTAGAAATATTAAATAGCCAGAATAATATTTGCTTTAATTCAGTTTTAGAAAAATTATACATAGGTATACAATGAAACGAAAAAATTTAATTTAAATATACAAACCGATTTTCAAAATAATATTTTACATCAATACATTTTAGATAATAATTTATCATAATAACTAAAGTATTTACATTTCTTAGCATATCTTTATACATACATACAATATGTTTACATATTACATATCTGATAAGAATTCATTTTAAATTATCTTTCCTATTTAAATAAATTACATCTACATAAAACAACCAATTTTTCTCAATGTATTTCGTCCTTTATTTTTTCATATTCAATCGTAATTTTATTGACTTTGATATACCTGACGATGAATTTTTAATTCGAAACCAGTCGTACTTTACTAATATAATAATACTTTATTTATTTCTATATATAAACTAATAATAATAATACTGGATTAAATAATAAGAACAAAGGAATTACAACTATAAATTATATAGGTAATCTATGATTTTACGAAAACATAAATAATTTACTAAATTAATAGACAATGAAATATTAGAATATTCTTCTAAATTCAAATGTTTATTTAAATTTAAAAGTTTAAATGTAAATTTAAAAGTTGCATATTTAAGAATTGTATTTTTCAAATCCAACAACAAAAGATATTCAAATGTTAATAGTCAATATTCAAATATTTATTGTATCACATTTGAAGGTATTAGTAGTTCGAGACAGTAAATTAGACGTAGCAAAAATTTGCTACATTTTTAAACATAGTATTAAAGTAATTTATGAATTGACTAATAAACTGTGTAGTATAAATATTAAAAATATATAATTAACTAAACATGGATTTAAATTAAGAATTTAATTGTACGTTAAGTAGATACCTAAAGTGACAACGAATTTAATAAAAGTAAAAATATTAATTTTAAAGTATAGGTAAGTACATATATTTGTGGTTACAAAATAGTAAACAAAAATATTTTATGAAACGAATGGAGTACATTTATACTTCAATTTAAATTTTTAACTACAAATTAGTGGAAAAAGTAATTTAGCACTAAGTTTTCTCCGACTTGATTTATTTTATATTTCATTAGATTATGTTCATAATACATATAGAAATTATTTTGTATGACATTAATAACCTATTCTACCTATAAGCTTAAAATCTTAAAAATTATTTATTTTAAATTTTAAGAACAGTACTATCTGGTACATCAAAAAATACTAGCTCAACGTGCTTCATCCAACCAAACAGAGTTACAATATTTTATATTTAAAAATGGAAACAAATATTTAATTATTTAATTTATACTATTTATTTAAAAATATAATTTTTCATGGTGAATAATTTTAAAAAAACAACGAATTATTATTAAATATTTCTAATTTATCATTATAAATAAAATATAAAATTAAAAATTCTTGTATGAAGTATTATTGTTAAAATATGCAATTTTTTGCATTTTTTTTTTTACCTTATGATAACTTTTTAAAATAAATTAAGTCGTAAATATTTGTATGTATAATACAATTATACTCCAAATAAGAACATTCATTTTTATATTTTTTATTTATATTTACGAGTATATTATTAAAATATTTAATATGGAATTTTCAATAAATTATTTATGTATTTAATAATACTTTTTTATGCTTTATGTGGTATGGGTCTGTGATTTATATTAATACCGTTCTTCAGTTGCAAGCTAAATATTGACAACATTTAAGTTTTTAGTTACGTATAAATATGATATTATTTATTTTTATTCTATTGAATGTTTTTATTTTTGTTTTTTTTTAATTAAAAGTGTAATGACTACTACAACTTCTAACTTGTACTTTTAAATTTTAAGTAAAGTCAGACATGCATTTTGGTTAGAAATAATGATTTTTTTCTAATATGCATACATTTAAATACTACAAATAATATTACGATTATTAATCAATTTTTAATTATTTACTGTCAATTATATATTATCAATTAAAAAAGCCAGATAAAAAACACTGTAACTGAACTTATTCTTTTTTTTTTTTATATATAATGATATACCTACTCTATTAAATTTTATCATCAATAAATAAAAAAATTTAACTAAATCAAATACTATGTTTTTATGTTCCCTTATCATCAAACTTAAATATTTGTTGTACTATTGTATGTACAAGTATGTATAAATAGTATTTATATCTTGACAAAAAAAGTGTAAATTAAAGATGTCTGTATTCAGTCAGCCCAGGGCTCCAAAAGTTCTCACTGACCTTGACTTGATATAATCTACCCAACTGTAGTAGATATCTCACATCCAATAACTTCAAAATTCATTATATAATTTGTATTAAGATATAACTTTGATTTAAATTAAAATTAAATAAATAATAATAATATCAATGTGTTTTCTTTGGTCAATTCAAGTTTTAACTTTTTCCTATAATATGCAATATAGAAGAAATTTGTCAGATAAAACGTTGAATTATACAACTATATATTTTTTTGTATGGTATATTCTAGTGTAAATATACAAACACAATACCTACAATACTTGCTACATTCATTAGCAACACAAGTTTCAATATTTTTAATATTATAGAATTTTGAGATATCTTGAGTATCAGTCATAAAATATGCCTCTCCTAAAATGGAACATCATCAAATTCCACCTATAAAACCCGTATGATGCGTCTCTCTCACTCGTCTCTATAAGCTTTTCGACCTACTCAGTATGATCTATGCCTTAACCAATGGATGGCCAACTTTTAAAGATTAAATTCTGAGTTATCTAGGTTGTCACGATTGACCAAAAAAAACAAAAAAAAAAATTTGTTAACAAACAAAAATATATTTTATATATATGCATCATAGGCGCATCTAGGGAGAGGCTAGGGGGCTTAGCCCCCCACAAATATTCCATGTTATACATGGAATACTGCATACAGCATACTTAACTCACAATAGTGCCACATACAAAAAAATACACATTGCAGTAAATCCAACTAAGGCTCAGAATCTTAAATATATTAACATGGTATATGAGTATAAGAGTAACGGTAGTCTACAAGATTATTTCAAGTTTTGTAGGAGGGCTGTAGCCCCCCCCCCAAGATTTTTTACCGTAAATGCACCTTTGACATGTTACTCTTCCTATATGTTTTTATTTAAAATATGAATATGTATTAATGAATTTTAAAATAATTTTATAATTGTACACAACATATATTTTAATATAGTTTTATCAATTTATACGAATGCAATAAAGATTATTTTTTAATACAAACGGAATATCCATTTAACTATGTAGAATATAGCTAGGAATTCGATCTCAGTATATTATTTCGTTTTTTATAGTTATTTATTACTATATATTGCCTTAATTAATCTATTTTATATTACCGTGGGTTGAACAAAGATATAAAAATTTACAAAATATAAATAAATATTTTATTTGTTTTCTGAAAAAGTTCATAAAATAAATGAAAGGGAGTTATGACCTACTCGAACTCATGTTCCAATCAACCAATTAATCGTAATCGACCTGTTGGCCACCCCTACCTTAGACGACGAAAAACCATCTGATGCGTGTAAACTCAGACTTCGTCTTAAAACCGAAATTTGGAGTAGCAACTCTTCAATCGTCTATTTTCACTCTTATCAGAGTTTAGAGGTCATAGTTATTATCAAAAACTATAATGGTAATAAGGTCTAGTGTCACATTTCCGTACATAAAAATAAAAATGTAAATATTAAACATTCAAGTACATTTTTTTGCTCTTCTAAACAAATGTAAATTAAGTTTCATAAAAAAAAAAAAAAACGCTGAATTTCTTATTATAAACGGTACATTTTTAGTAAAATATAAATGTTATTGAAATTTTCATATAATTCTTGGGTAGATTTTACCTCTAGTATTGGACTAAGCTATGGTCTAATTATCCTAGTCTATAGTTTTACTTATTGTTCTTGTGCATTAGTTTTGCAAACAAATCAACAAATTTCTTGTTTGGATAATTGGTAATTAGTAAAATAAAATGAATTAAATTAAATTAAAAATTAAAACAGTAAAATTGTGATTAATAAACAAAAATATTCAATCAACTTATGATTTTATTTTTTATTTTAGGTATTGCAGTAATTTTAATAATTTCAAACAGAGTATTTGGATTAGGTAAATAATAATATTATTTCTTAGAATCATACTGCTACAATTTATTATTTTTGAAACTAATATTTCAGATTCCGATATAATTGATAGTAATTTTTCAATTTCAACCACTACTATTGATTATGATATACCTGTTCAAGATATGGCGTCTGAAACATTGATGGCTCTTTCGCCATGCCATCAATTTGAAGGAGAATTCGAGTTCTTTTCTCCAGGCCATCCTCAACCTTATCCAAATAATACAGAATGTATCAGACTATTAGAAGGTATGTAATCATATAAATATAAACTACTTGGAATAAAACAATAGTGAAAATAAAAAATACATTTTTTGCAGCTAATGTTGGAGAAATAATAGAATTAGATTTTAGAGACTCATTTACCATTGAACCAAGTATTGGATGTAAACACGATCATTTAGAAATTCGAGATGGTCCATATGGATATTCAGTTCCAGCAAATTATTACTGCGGAAATCAATTTCCTCCAAAGTTAGTGTCTAAAATATTTTTTCTTGCAAAATGAAATAGCCGATTAATATAAATAATAGTTGTTCAATATGGTGTGAAATCATGATTTTAATATTTTTCTTGTATTTTTATTTATATTTTAGAATAATTTCATCTGGGAGACACTTATGGTTGCGGTTTCGGTCGGACGAAAATATCGAATATGAAGGATTTCACGCAGTTTACAAATTTATCAAGAAACCTCCACCCGGTAAATAATTGTTAAAAATTAATGTAGTGAAAAATATATGTAATTAATATTGACAGGGTCCACATATTACTAATAAATATAAAGTACATGTTTTACGTAATGTCAAATATATATATAATGTGATTTAGAACATCTTACAGTAGTGTATATAGATATTTCATACCTATTGCCAGTTTATGATATTAAATAAATATAATTTGTATTTTTTTAATACCTAAAATAGCCAATAATTTAATTTTTAGACATAGAAAAATCAGAACTTCCCCCATGCCGTAAATTCGTGGACGGTTCTCAAGGACATATAAATAGTACAGAAGTAGATGATTTGAAAAATTTAACTCTTGCGAATCAGGTTCCATTAGATTGTATGTGGATAATAAAAGTAAAACCTGGATGGAAGGTATTTATATTAGATTCAAATTTAAATAGAACGTGTGTAATAATTTATTAATTTATAATTGTATTAATTATAGATTCAGCTTAACTTCAAAGATTTTGCGTTAGAAAAACCCAACGATTGTGGATTGAATGTTGTAGAAATTTTTTCAAATCGTACTGATATGGCTTCTCGGTTGAAGGTATTTTGTGGATCAATTGCAGAAATGGTACAATCACCGGGTAACATGTTACATGTACGATTCTTGGCAGAAGGAAAAGGAGTAAAATCAAAATTCTCTGCACTTTTTACTGCATACCGTACTAAGACTAAAGATGAAGGTAAAAATATTCAGACAATAAGTTTAAGATAAAAAATTAAAGAGTAGATTACCTACAGTAGGTTTATCTCTAGAATATAAGTATAGTATTCTCATCAAAAATATATCTCTGAGAAATGTCACCATAATATAACATTCAAAAGATTATTAAAATCTATTTTAATTGTTTTATTATGAATTGAAGTTCAAAATTTTTAATCGGATTATACAAATTATATCATTTTTAGTACAAATACAACACGTAGGTACTAGCTCTATAAATATAGTTTGATTTAGATGCGTTCTGAGGATTTTTTAATGGCGGGGATATAAAAATGTATTAAAAAGTGAGTCATGAGAGCCTCCACATAACCTTTCTTATATGCATAAAAACAACATATAATAAATTACAATATACTCGTATTATATTTTGAATTTTTTTTTTTTTTAATTTGCTTTCGTTTGCACATTACAGCAAAATATATTTTTTAATTATAATGCTAAATTTACAAAATTATATTTATTTATCAGTTTTAAAAAAAATAATTTAATATAGATACTGCTTGAATTATTTAGTTTAATTTTTCATACACAAAACAGTGTTCATAAGGAACGTGTTATTTTTATAAGGACAAAGGTGGAACGCGTTTCTTTTCAAATTAAGAAACGAAGAACGTTATAGATTTTCTATTTATGAAGGACTTAAACGTAAATTTCCGTTCCAATAAAAAAAATTTAGACACATGTTAATTTTAATAATAATATTTTATAAAATATATAAAATGTATCCTATTAATTTTTAGCCTTTGTAATAAAATAGTAATAGTATATTTTATAATCAATGGTAAAAAGTAGTTATGCAATTATTTGGTCTCAATTGGAATCATTGATTGCCATTGATAAGACGTAATGTTCTATCCTTGTTCTTATTCTCTTATATATATGTTACGGGCAAAGTAGAAAGTCGGGCATTGTGCACAATGACCGGGCACTGTGCACAATGCCCGATTTTCAAGGGCAAAGTTGGAATAAGTTAACGTTGCCCGGGCATTGTATACAGTGCCCAATTAGATTTGGGCACAGTAGATTAAATATTGAATATTATATAAAAAATTAAAAATAAAGATATTAAAAATATTATAAAAAATAAATAAAGTTTCACAGCCTAGAGCTTTTCTAAATATTCCGCTGATTTTAAAGTAGAAATTAAATCGGTTGGAATTTGCGTTGATTTTAGGCCAACTTTAGCATGTGTTCCGAACATAGCTTCGTATGGCGAACGTTTTGTACCATGGTAAAAACTCCGATTCTTCATAAATTGAACAAATTTAAGACCTTCGCTCCACTTTCTTGAATTATTATCGGCTAACCATGTTGCGAGAATATTTTGAAATCTTGGTTGGCCCTTTCAACAGACCCTTGACTTTATGAGTGTCTAGGCTTTCCGTGGACAATCTTAAGTTCTTCCCACATACTACACAACTCAATAATAACTTTATTGGCGAATTCCCTTCCATTATCACTTTGCAAAATTGCCGGGGCTCCAAATGTTGTAAAAATATCAATTAACACGTAGGCTACTTCTTCAGCCCGTTTATGGGTTAACGGTCTAAGAATTACGAACTTCGTAAGGTGATCTTGATAGACCAATATGGACTTGTAATCGCCATCAGGCTGAACTTGCATGTCTATTAAATCCACTTGATAGTGAGAGTTCAATTCTGATGAAAGTATAGGTTTTACAACTAAACCTTTTTTAATTTTACTGCCTTTTTTTTGACAGTGGTCACATAAATTTAAAAATATCATTATAGTCTCCCTTGTTATATTTTTATATTTCAAGTTCAATTCATACTCCATACGGTTTCTACCTCCATGTCCCATAGATGTATGCGTTTTATTAAGAAGTTGAAACAATTGTTCGTTGTAAACATAATACTTAATTAAATTACCTTCGGATACTGGAACTACTAACTTTTCAATCCCTGATATATTTACAAAATCGTATTTTTTAATTAATTTGTAATCATCTGCAGTCTTTTTTGTGGTTTTAGTTTTCACATTATTCACTTTTGAAATTAATTCATCGTATTTTACTTTATTTAAAAATACAGCATTTGCATTTTTGTTTAATAGTAAATTGTTAAACTTCTCATTAAACTTTTTTTCCATTTTATGTTAGAAAATAGTACACAAATACTTAGAAAATAGTTAAAAACGTTGACCAAAAGAAAAAAAAACACTACAAGCAACTGCACTACCTACACTACAATGTCAGACTACGTGACGTCGCCGTCGTGACAATAATCATTAGAAAATATCGAACAGGAATTTAACGATTCGATTATGAAATATTATCTACAATACTGTGTGATCACTTTTATCGTTTAGATTACGGTTCGGTTCGTACTATCGCAGCTGTCACGTTGTCGAGTACGAATAAAATATATAATTATAGTTTTGTAGTGATATTATTACGTATAAATGCAATTTGATATAAAAGTATGCAACGCACTGTATAATTCACTTTGCCCACTTGAATCTGGGCAGGGTACACTTTGCCCGGGCAATCTAGTACAATGCCCGGTCAATGTATGACAAATTTGAGTATTAAAATGATCATTCTTACATTGGCCAAAATGTTCGGGCATTGTATAACAATACCCGGATTTCCTACTTTGTCCGTAATATATATATAGGCATATAAGGTATTTAATAATATTAAGATAATATGATCAGTGTCGGCGCTATGATATGCGAGGCCCTGTGCAAATTATAAACGCGTGGCCCCAGATCTGAATATACTACAAAATAGAAGCGCGAGGCCTAAGAGTCTATCCAAAAGTACGAGGTCCTGTGTGATTGCACTTTCTGCATACCCCTCGTTCCGGCACTAAATATGATAATGTAAGCCATGGTTGTAATATACCTATAATAAGAATGGTGTAAACAAACCAAATCAGTTTTGTTAAAAATAGGCAAAGCTATAATTACAAAAACGCAACAATTGGATTTTCATGCATAATATGACGTAATTTTTTATTAGTGATTTATTTCGTACTTCATTTACAATATTAATACTTATATATCATTCTTTTAAGGTAAAATTATAATTTACCACTTTTGTTTTCAAAGATATCTATATAAAGTTTATGTCATAAAACATTTACCTATAAATAATATGATAAGAATTTAGTAGTACGTAATAATAATATTTATAATTAAAAAAAATAAATATATAATATAATTTAAGATAAATTGAAAATAATAAACATGCTGGAAGTCGTAAAAAAAAACTATAAGCATGTAGATATACAATGTATATAATGTTACGTTTTTTTATATATATATCTATATATGTATATTATACATATATAGTATATAAACCTACATTTACTTTTAGAGTTATCATTTATATTTTGAGATCATTCTCATGTTAAACAACTTAAATTGGTAGAAAACTTTCTATATTTTGTAAGCTGTAATAGTTCATGAGTTTGCGATTTACATTTTATACAAATATTTTTATAAAAATATTCAAATTTATATTTTTAGCTTGCGGTAATGATCAGTATGATTGCGAAGATTTAACATGTATAGCATCTGAATTACGTTGCAATAAAGTTGAGAACTGTCGTTTTCGATGGGATGAAGATGGATGTCCGGTATATTATTATTTAAATTACAATCTACAACATTTTGTATTAATTTACAAACATTAATTTAGGAAGAAGACAATCGATTAATGCAACTATTTTCAAGTTTCGACATAATAGTAATTTTGGTAGTGTTTTTTCTAATATTATGTGGAATGTGTTCAGCATTCATTACTAATATTGTCCGAAAGCTGGTACATGATCACCGCATTATAAAAGTAAGTAGTACTTTTATTATAAAAAGAACAGAGGTTTCCAAATTTTTTTTTTTATTAAGGATTCTAAATTTAAAATTTGAACAATATTTATGTAACTAATACCTTACCAAAATAAGTAATATTTTTATACTCAATTTTCGAATTTTTCCGATGAATTAAAAATATTTGTTCTTCAAATAGGAACACATGCGTCATTCTAGAGAAGATCATTTAGATCAAATTGGAAGAATACATGTTACAAATGAACAATCACTCGAAGACTCCGGTCCTCATATCCATGACTATCCTCAAAGTGATAATAGTAGTCAAATCACTAATTTAATTCAAAACAAACATAGTAATAATATATCAAGTTCAGATTGTTATGTTCCATCTGGTGATCTTATTCCAGTGTTAATGAAACATGACCCTCCTCGTCTTTATCCTTCTGTTGAAGACGAAGAAGGTGATGGGTTGATGAGTTCCTATCCAATGGCAGCTGAAACTAAAGATATTGAGTGCCAAACCAGAGAAAGTCTTTTTGACACATCAGTGGTACCTAAAACACAAACTGCTGGTCATTATAGAGTAAGGCCATCAGAATCGCCTTTTAGACCACCATTAGGATTTTCAACATTTGGATACAGAAAAGATTCAGATAGTTCTACTGACACAAAACCATCAAAATTCAGAGCTGAGGCAGTTATTGAAATGGACAAGTTTTCATCAGAATTAAGCCAAAGGCCTTACAGTATTGAATCAACAAAATCAGCTCCAGATGTTATAGTCATGCACTGATCCCTATAAAACTGTTCACAATAATACTATTAATATTAATTTTAAGTATTATACTCAAAAGTATGCTTATCAATAGAAGTCAAAACATTTAAAAAATGCTCAAATTATGAAGTGGACTAAAATAAAATATTTGAAATGTTACAGAGGGGAATAATGTATATTACGAACTAACCCTTCAAGTACTATCAGTATTTTTGATAAGTTATAAATATATTTAAAAATGGTAACGTGAATCATCAATGAAAATATTGTTAAACCATCACGAATTTATATTGTCTTATATTTTAAGTCATGATTAGAATTATAGTTATCTAAATGATTTATGAATATTAAATAAATTATTCCAAATTCGTATTTACCAAATTTTTTTTATTTTTATCAAACATCGGTTTATTATATTTATACAATACTTATTTACAATCAATGTCCATTTTTTTTTTTTTTTTTAGGAATATTTAAATGTATAAAAAATATTGTATGTACATGTAGATAGTATTTCTGATTATTTGTTATGGATGTACATATTGCTGTGACAGTGCTCTTAAAAATTTTAATTTCCTTATATTGGCTGCTTCTCTTTTAATTTCTTCGTTATTATTTGCATTTAACTCCAAGGCACCAATTGTTTTTAACTATAAAAAAGAACACTCCATTTTAAATAGACATATAATTAAATTTAAATTAATGTATAAAGAATTTATATAATAATATATACATATATACAAAAATATAACATACAATTTTTAGTGCATATTATTCCTTAATAGATATTTTTATAATAAAAAATGTATATCCTCTAAACAAAAAACAATCACTTACCAGTTTTTGTCTATGTTCCTGGTGGTTTAATTTAGTATGCCAATATAAAAGAAATTCCAACAAACTAATATCCCATATATAATCATAATATTCATCTAAAGCATCACATGAATTGGTCTCGGAGGCACATTTGAATGCAGTTGCATAGTCTACTTCATCTTGAAATAAACATAATATTGATGCCTATAAAATAATTTTATTTTTAATTAAAAAAATGTTAAATATTAAATATGAATATTAACCTGGGTGAAATTTTGCATTTGCATGCAACACTTCATCATTCTTTTATAAACGTAATCTTCAATCATTGGTTTTAAAACAGGTCGCGCAAAATAGTCACTAACAATAACAATAGCTTCAAGATACCATTTCATTGCAGAACTGTAATGCCCCATAACTATAAATAAATAATTGTCTTTATTTAGTTTGTACTTAAAAATGGTTCTTTAATTTTTTATGAAAACTTTTTTTTCAGAAAAGAGCATTTATTTAATAATATAAGGCAAGTTTGAAGATGAGTGAAAATATAGTGAGTTAGGTGAAGGAGTACATGTATTTAGAACCTATGATGCAAAATAATAGTAGTTCACAGGAAAAATTAAAAAACAAATTGCAAAGATCAACAGTGAGAACTTAATAAAACTATCAATATATAAATCAATAGTAAAAAAATTAGAAATTACTCCACAAAAAGAATAGGGAACTTGGAATTTGAGAATTTTGCTACAACTAGGAAAATAATAAAATAAATTGGAATTATAAATAAAATTAGATTATGGTTAGTATATAACCTTAGTTTTAAATAATAGTCTTTAGTATAATTATTAATATCCATTAATAAATATAAGCATTATTTTTGTTATCTTTTCAATTAAATATATATATCACCATATTGCAGATCGCCATTAAGTTTCAATAAAATAATATGATTTGGATGGTGTTTAAGTGCTTCGTTTAATAGGATTCCTAATACTTCGGTAATATTTCTTAATGGAATACTCATACCACTAAAAACATAAAAAAATGTTTAAATTGTTAATTAAGAACAGTTAAATATAATTAATAATACTTAAATATAAACAAACTTAGGAATGGCAGGCCAAATATTGAGAAAAGGCATTATAAGTTCCATCGAAGACTCATCCCTGAGAACATTTTGAATTTTTGCTAATAGTGAAAGTGCTATTTGAATAGCATTTTGATCTCTTAAACTCATAAATACATGCATAATGTCATTCTGATTTTGATTACGATTTTGAGCATTTTGAGGTTCTCCATCTAAAGGTCTTTTATTAGCAGTGGCATAACCATAATCAAATACAGGTAAGACTATTACATAATAAAGACATCATTTTATTCATTATTAACAATATTTTAAGCTTATTAACATACCTAAATCCCAAATTTCTTTAGCACTTTTTTTAGTGCCCTTAAATTTATTAACATCAAGACAAGTATAAGCAATAGCCATTGGTAATTTAAAGCAATTAAAATGCCTTTTAGTTAAATACTCCCACTCTCCAACATTTAATAGGGTTATAACACATTGTTCTGCTATTTCTTGACGTGGTAATAAATTATCACCTTGTGCATATTCAAGGCATTGTTTACAGCGTTCCACAAGATCTCCAATTACTATCAAAATAGACTTATTTTGAATAAAAAATTGTAGTTAAATTATTATTATTTTTCATATAACTACAAACCAAAGTTTTTAAATTCATATTGAAATTGAAGCATTTCAATATACAATGCCTCCCATAAAATTAATTGTCTAATTTTGGTGTACATAATATTACTTCCAATTTTTATTTCTGTTTCAGCTTCACGTAATAGTAATTTTGCTTTTTCAAAATACTTAAAAAAAAAGTTGCATAAACTAGTTTAATATTATCTATAAATTAATAATATAACTTACATTTAATAGTATTACTTCATTTGATTTGGCTACCAATATAGTTACCAAATATTTAAGTACTGCATTTGGTATGTTCATTAAAAGATTAAGTAAAGGCAATGGAACATTCCACTAAAAAAATTTTAAATCTACATAGAAAAATATTGATTTATCTGACAAAAAAAATTTAAATAATTACTTACATTATAATCAATATCTAAAATACTTTGCATAAGTTCTTTGTCCAGTTTTTGTAATTGCTGTAGCAAGTTTCTTAAGTTATTAGTCTCATACTCATATCTTATTTTATTTTTCAATAACATTTGTTGCTTTTTAACATTACCTAAAAAACAAAAAATGAAACAAGAAATTATTATTGAATAATTTAAAATTTAAAATTTAAATAAACACACTTGTTGGGGTAATTTTTATTCGAGCTAAACGTTTAGACATATTAATATTAACTATTGGTAAATCTTCTGGTAAGGCAAGTAATTGCTGAATATCTTCATCACCAAATAAGTCTTGTATTTCTTTATGTCCATCTTTTAAAATGTCTTTTGCTAAGTTTTTAGGGCATTTTAGTAAAACATTACATACAAACATTTTAACATTCTCTCTAATTTTTTTGTCTTTAAATAATGTACAAAGTCTTATATCCTGTGAAAAAAAAATCTTAATTTAAATTTCTAAAGTTATAAAATACAATATAATACAATTAAGTTATTATTTGCATGCCCTAAGCTTATTTGAAAATATGTAAAATACCAGAAAATATAGCAATATACCATATTTATTTTAATATTTGAATTCAATAGTATTTTTTTACTATACATATTTTTAGTTACATTTACTTTCTTTAAATTACTAACATTTTAAAACACAGGAGATTTATTCTTTTATGAGAAACATAATATACCTTTATAAATATGTCAGGTCCTCTCATATTAAATTTGATTTTAGTAACATAATCTTCAGGAGGTAATAAAACTATTTCTTCAGAAGTTACTGATGCTCTTCGAATTGCATTCATAGTGTGTATATGAAGTAACATGTCTCTTGATGCAGTAAATTTTCCAAGTGATAACATTGAAGCTAAGTCAAGTTCTAAGGAATCTCTTAAAAACATTGGAATTTCCATCATTTGATTATCAGTTTCCAAAATTTTAAAAATTCCCTATAAATGAATAATTACAATAAATTACATAAAGAACAAAAATAATATTTATATTTACATTATAGTTTGTTTGAGCGGAATATAAAAACTGCATTAACAAACTGGAATCTTCTGTAAGTTCAGATGAGCATGCTGCACAGAATCCTTTTAATTCTTCAAATTTAATTTTATGAAAAGAACTTGGTGTTAGGTTTTTATGTAATTCTTTGCACCGATTAAAGTAAATACCAGCTTCTTTATATTGCTCTTTAAAAAACTTATATTTTGCATAGTCATACATAATCTACATAAATGTTATTAATAAAAAAAACATCACAATAAAATAAATCAAATTATTTAATTTTGTAAATACTTGAGAAAGGAATTCAGCTGATGTTACAGTAAGACCGTTAAACCAATTGCAAGATGAAGGCTGCAACTCGTTAGGTGGATTGAATATATTCATTGTTGGAATTGTGTACGATGAATGTTTTAATTCGATAAGGCGCAATAACATTTTTTCACTAAGTTCGCTTTGTATCTCTAGTTTCATTAAAACATCTTCATTTCCATCTCTAAATTAATTTATCGCCAATATAGTGTATGAATAAATAAATAATATACATATACATGTATTTTATAAGTAATGATATAGTGGATGAAAGATTAGTCAACAATTTATCAAGACAATTCTATTGTACAGAAAATTATACATGGAATATTGAGATATTTTTTATTTACATTTGTATAAATATTAGCAACATATTGCAAATAGTAAATTTGCATTGCACTACACAAGATAATACTAATGTTAAATGAAAACCATAATATTTAAAAAGTTGGCAATCACTAATGACTTTTTTATAATTATTTATTAATGATTTTTAAATAGTTTTAAGTTAAATACTTGCATATTGATTTTATAATAATATACTATCCATAAAACATACCATTATATCTTAAATATTAGTAAATAATGTATATAACTTACTGTACAGGGCCTAAAGTAAATGTTGATTTTTTAGACAATGTATAACTGATTATTACAGTTAATGTCCATCGATGAAATAGAGTAATGGCAAATAATTGTTCATCATTGAGTTGTGATAAATCTTCAATTGTACTGTGAGATTCAAAATCAATTAGATTGAGACCATTGGATACTAAATCTAAAAGATCTTGAACAAATATTATCTGAAGACTTATTGGAACCCTGGAAATAAATGAAATTTATCTTATAATAACAACAATTATTGTAAGTATTGTAAATGTCAAGAATATAAATAAAAACAATACTTAAAAATAAATTTTGTTTTATAATGTACAAAACTGGATTATAAAAGAGAATACCTGGTTTGTAAAAGGTTTAGGTCCCATTCCCAAAAACTAACAATTTTCATAGCCAATATTTTTAAACATTCATATTTTTTACGTTTGCGATATTCAATTTTTTTATCAATTTTAGAATTATCCATTAAGTCATCAATATCAATTGCTGGCATATCTTTTGGTCTTTCCATAGATGAATAAAGAAATTTGATTAATAGTTCCGTGGCACTAGGATCTAATAAAATAAAAGATTATAATACAATTTAAAATCCAAATCATTAAATAATATAAAAATAAACTAAAAATAGATGTTTCTGAATAAAAATGTCATTTAATTTTCATCAATAATTAAAAATTGACAGCTATTTTAATTTATCAATTCTAGTGTTTGTAATATAAGAAAAAGTTATTGTATGTTTAACTAACAGTTTACCTGCATGAGGATTATTCAAATGTTCTTCAAGAAGAGATGGATCAATAAGAAATTCAAACCAAAGTTTTGTATTTGGTGCAATCGGTATCATACCGGGTCTTAATAAATCTACGTCCATGATCAGTAATTTTTCTTTCAATATAATTCGGTTACAATAGTATGAAAAATTGGAACTGATAACTGAAATCAAAGAAAATATTACTTTGTCATAATATGTCATACTATAGTTGCTAATAGTTATTGTGCTTGATGTAATGAAGAATTAAAAGTACCAAATAATAGTTGATCAACAGCGTAAAATGATTTGCAATATAATAATTTAAATTTAAATTTAAATTTTGTTTACATCGCAGACGTGAGCAAAGACGACGTGAAACATATCACAGATTACTTGAACATGATATTAATCTCTTCCCTTAGATTATTATCACAGACTACTTTCGGAGTTTGGTCTCCTTATCTCTAATCTTAATGGTCATGTACATATCATACATATGATATTTGTTAAAAAATTACAATATGATAATTGATAAGAAATTTGACCGTGGGCTCTCTCTAAATCACCATCTTAATAGAGAAGCATAGATAAAAGATTAAAGGTCCTCTAACTTTACAAATATTTTTTCACTGTATTTTTAAAATACATTCTAATAATACAATTTCGTTTTAAATTTTAATTTGGTATACTATTTATTCGTTTCTCAATATCTAATTCGTTAGACTCATATTTGACTCAGTTATGTAAATAGTCCAATTTTTTTTTATTAATTGGTTTTATTAGATTTAGGTAGATTCTTACTATAATACTCGCATTACGCACCATAAAACTATAGCAGCATAGATTTTATAATAGACGCTTTGAACCAAAAGGTTTCAGTTTGTCATTATGGACTAGCATTTATTGAAGACAATATTTTTGTTAATATTTATTGATGTCTAAAAAAAGTGTTTTTTATAAAACAGCAAGATAATTAACATTGCAAGTGTTCTCTTAGTGGAAAAATAAATAGCAACATGGACAAAACAAGTGCAGTTGTTGAAGATATTGGCAGTGAATTTTCGTCAAAATACTTTGACGCATTGGCGGGCAAACCGAATTCATCGGCATTACGTAAGTTCTTCCATGAAAATTCAATTTATGTATTTGCACAACATGGACGTCCCGATCACGAGATGCAAACGAGCGTTTAGAGCATGATTTAAGATAATACTATAGTATTATCTTAAATCAGCATTTTTTAAACTGTGTTCCGCGGAACCCTGGGGTTCCGCGAAGATCACTTCAGGGTTCCGTGAAGCTTAAGTAATTTTTTAAAAAATTTTAAGAAAATTACTTTAAAATTTCCAACTTAAGATTAGCAATGTTGAAAAACTGTTTGCATTATAGAAAAAAAAGTCTTTGTATATTAAATAACATGTATAAGCGATATGGAATAGTCTACATTTATATTTCGGTGCACATCACTGCGCATGCATCGTTACCATTTTGTAATATATCACATAAACTCCGCATACAAGGTTTTTTTTTACACCTTAATTCCACACATAATTTTTTTTTTTTAACACCCTAACTCCGCACATCATTTTTGTATATATTTTTATACATAATTTAAAAAAAACAATCGGTATTCTATCAATTAGCCATCGTTATATAATTCTATGTTTTTATTTATAAATTCCATATTAGTTTTTTGTTTAGTTCTAACTATCCTACTTCATTATTATTAGCAGAATTAATTCGTATGTAAGAATCCGTCTGTGTAGCTAATAAGTTTTTAATGAAAACTGCAATATTTAGATGTAGGTACTGAAGTAAATAAATTACCAAATTTTGCATGAAAAGACTCATAGTCATTTATTGTTCTCTTCAGTATTGCTTCTTTTTTGGCCCAAATACTGGGTGGAAATATTGTATCGTTTTTTATGTATATTTTTTCTAAGTAAGTGATCATTTTTTTAATTCGTGAATCTTGGGTTGGTCATTTTTAAAGTAATTTTCAGAACATAGTTTTATGCTATGCGGACTTTCGGTAGTAAAAATATTTTTAGAATGCGGAGCTACGGTACTTTAATTTTTTTAACCGTGCCGAATTACGGTGCATGCGGAGTTGCTGATTTACAAAATAATTTTCTTCGCGCGGAGCTATGATGCGTCCTTATATTTAGTCTAATTAAAGTAATTATTATTAAAGTATTATTATTATATATGTAGATATTTTTTAATTATTATAATTTTAATTTTAAAACATTTTTTGAATTAAATACCTTTAACACAATATTATATGATTATAATTTATTTACAAAAAATCCTAAAAAAAGCTAAAAAAAAAGTAGGGGTTCCACGATAAATGTGGACATCAAAAAGGGTTCCACAGATAAAAAAGTTTAAGAAACTCTGTCTTAAATCATGGTCTAGAGACAGCGCCTCTTATCTGCACTATTATTATCAGTATTACACTATCACTACAGTTGCTTTATCACATAATCGATTGATTACATTTAAATATTATATTTAACTCTTTCATGCACGGGATTTCATAACTATTTTGACCTATATTGCACAGAAGATTTTTTTTTAGAAAAATTATAATTTATGTGGTATAATAAATTACTATTCAAGTAAATAATAAGACTTTGGTGTTAAAAAAATATTAAAATATTTTTTTAAAGAGTTATCGTTGGTGGGATGACGTATGTCCCACCATGCATTAAGTGTTTGATAAATTGATAAATCATGTATTACTGTTGTAGGGCCCTCTGGACTTTTAAATGGAAATAAATCAATTAAAATGTCGTTTTTTTTTTTACCAAACTGGTTGAGTTTCAATCTCAGTTTCAACTGTTTCAATATGTAATGGACATATTGAAGTAGATTCAATGTTACACTGATAATCATTATTTACAACTGAAGAAGTACTAGGTAAAAAATGAAAATCAAATGTCAACGACACATTTTTGTTATTCAAAGATACATTTTCTGAACTTGGAAATAATTGTTGGTGTGTAGCCGTCCGAGATCTAACTTCAGTTATTTTTGATACATATTTTTGACGAATTGAACTACGAGTATACTTTTTCTTCTTTATAGGCGAGGGTAACAAATAAATATTTCTATCGTCTAAGTTAAGAATTTCTGAATTTTCATCGTCACTCTCATCATCACTAGATTCTAATATAGGTATCGTTTTCGACTCACCAGAAGGTGGAAAATAACCTTTATCATTATCGGAATCATCAGAAGAAGTTATGCTGTTGTTGTGGACCAACGGTGACCCAGTTAGAATTATCGTTTTTCGATATATAATTTGCACACGGAAGCGTGTGTGGCTGGGTATCCATAGGCCACTGTGATAAAACCTTCCGGTCTATGCGCGCCAGGCATTGTAGAAAGACGAGAGCGGGTCGAACGGCAGTCTGAATCCAGCAGCCACTTTGTGTAAGCGTTATATTTTAGAAGTGCTGGTTCGGCTCTCGTGTATGTATTTAATACATATATTTATTATTCTAGTCGATATTAAAATATCTTTACCACATAAATTATTCATGTTTATAACAGTAGTTTTTATTGTCATATATTTATTTATAATAACTATTCTGATAATATACGTTTGAAATGAGATTTAATTGAACTAATAAATCTGTGTCTTATTTATTATAATTTAAATATTACACTTGCCTATCGGAGTTCCTCGCTGTTGGGACTCAACAGGGAACTAATTTTGGTGCCGAAACCAGGGATACTGTTATTTGAACGTGGAAACCGAAGTCGACGTCGGAGTTCAAGTTTCAAAAATTCCTGAAGTATTTCTGTCAATCACTTTCGGGACGTTGTGGAAATTCAACTTCGTGTCTGGAGCTGAGGATAATCAATTCAAGGGGCGATCCACAACTGGAGTGTTCCATCAACGGCAGGGAGCAGTGGCAAGAGAAATGACTATGATGAACCATCAGTGAGAATTTTTTTTTTTTCTCTCCTTGTAGAAGTATTTGGCTGTTGTAATATTTTGGATAGTCTATATATATGTTAGCGATTAATGACCGTTAGAAATAGCTGATTGGATTTATCGTTAGAACAGGGTGACAGTGGTAGTGTAGAAAATTTATCTGAAACCTATATATTTGAAGTATTAATAGGGCACGACCACGAAGAACCCAATAATAAAATGGCAAATAATTCTGATGATGGCAGTAATGGTAGCGTGTCTAGCGGGTCCGGGTCCCATACGTACCAGTCGTCGGCTTTACGTCTAGTAGAGACGATAATAAGAGTAGTGCCAACATTTTCGGGTGACAATGTTGAAGATTACGAATCTTTTGTACAATCATGTGAGTTAATGGTAGGAGTGTTACACACCGAACAAATGAGTATATTTATGCGAACGATATTAACCAGGTTGAGTGGGCAAGCCCGTGAGTTAGTTAGTCACGAGGAGATAGAAGGCTGGGAGGATTTAAAGAAAATACTTGATGCTTCTTATATAAGGCCGAAAAACCCAGCGTATTTACAGTGTCAATTATTCACTGATAAACAAAAATACAAAGAGCCCATGGTCGAGTATATAAATCGATTAAATCAATTAATGAGACAAGTGAACAGTTGTAGTACCCTAGGAAAAACGAGAGAGCAAGCGTTAACGATTAAAGAGACTTTGAGAGAGCAAGTCTTAAATGTTTTCCTAGAAGGGTTGGCTGATTCCGTTCAAACAATGGTTAAAAGTCAGCACCCAAAAACACATGAGGAAGCTATAAAAATAGCCATTGAGGAAAAGAAAAATTTCTTGGCTAGATTGGAAAAGAAGAAAGATTCGCACGAAGGAAAGAATGCGAACAAGGACAATTATAAAAATCGGGGTAATACTGGTTATAATAAAATAATAGTTATAAAAATGGTGTGAAGTGCCATTAGTTTCAATTTTGATTGACCTATCCAATGGCGAATTGTTGAAAGTCCTGGTAAATTTACTTTTTTGGAACGTAAAAATGTATATGCACTGGGTGATTTATAATATAAATTTAAAGCCAAATTTTTTTCATTTAATGTCCATGGACGTTGTCTATCTTTTAATTGCATAGTCACAATTGCTTTGGAGTTAATTGTTGAAAATTTATGTAAATTTATTGATTTTTTTAAATTACTATAGCGATTAAAACATCTACCACTTTTTTTAATTTTGAAATATGTATGATTTTATTATGAATAATTTTATTTTTTTGTTTTAATTTTTGTTTTAAAATTAATTTTCTAGGAGTATCTTTTTTTAACAAATCACATTTCCTTTTTAAATTTGAGTCTGGCATTTGTATTATATTTGTAATTTTAGTTTTATTAGGAGTAGATAACGATGAAGAGGGGCTAGAAAAAACTAACTCTACCATGTCTGATTTTGTGTGTGTATAAGTATTTACTGGAGTTGAAATTGTAAGA